TGGAGAAATCCCATCTTCCTCACCTCATTAAGACCAAGGGCAACTGCTATGTGCTGAATCTCTGAAAAAATGTGAAACGCGGTGCTTCAGACTTGCCTTTCTTTACAAAGGTGATTTGCAAACCTTCCTCCAAGAATTAATAGTGTTAGAGATACCCTACTCACAAAGCTGGTTTTCTTTTTGCTGCAAGAATACAGCACACAGGCTTTGCCTGGTGATAAGCCTCTCCCTAATTGCCTAGGCTGGTTCCACTGTTTGAATTTTGGATTGGGCAGGTGGCCTGAGCCAATTTTTTATGCTTTGATGTTTTAGCAAGGCCCAGCTGCTAGGCTGGGTGAGCTGTGAAAACAGTCTTCTGTAGAGCTTGGCTATTTATCTTAGCCACATCTTTAATGCCAAAACAGTCCAGGAGCATCTAGCTCTCCTGTGGTCTATCAGCCTTGAAATAGAGCCATGGCTCAGAATGAAGAGCCAACATTAGCACTTTTCTTCTCTACAGTTTGTATACATTTGCTCTTGCGGAATTTTTTTGGAAGGGCAGTTTATATATCAGCCTGAACAGCATTCTATCTGTCTATTTTTCCATTTGGAAGACAAAATCCAAGAATCCTTCAGTATTTCAGATGTGCTTTCTCTCTGATAACTGAGCTAGTATTATAATACTGTGGGCAAAGTTTACTATTAGAAGTCAGTAAGACAGATTTGGAGCCTGACAGATTTGGTGCCTGACAAGTCGTCTGGGTTGGCCTGGAGTGCTCACTGACAAGCCTGATCGCTGGAATTGGATAAGTACATCCCTCATTTTCACACCTCATGTTAGCACCAGGATAAACAAAGCTAATTTTGAAAAGCAGTAGAGCTAGCTGGAAAATGAACTCCCAGCTCTAAAAAGGCCCTAATTTCAACACCTATTGTCATGTGACTTCAGAGATAAGGACAATGCAAAGTCCTCCCTCACATCTCCTAATGTCTGCTTTTCCTCATGTTTTTTGGACCACATGGATTCTTCAGCTGGAAAATGGAATTTCTCCTGATCATTTTTTTCAAAATCTAGCCAGTTCATGATGCAGATGTACTTAAAGATCAGTGATGTTGAAAAGCACTGGGATGTGGTTCTGGGATGTGGTTGTTTGGATGCACAGAATGACGCTGACAGAGCCAAGAGCTGTGCAGGGTTCCTGTGGTCATGGTAAGGACTTTGTGCAATGTATAAGCTGTTATGAAATTGAAAAGTGACATTCTTCCTTGCCTTCTGAAAAGTTCTTGAAGAAATGAGCTCGGCACACTCAGATATCCTTTTCTGCTGTCTCTCCCCTTTGATATATTATTTTAGAATTCTTTTGCCAATTTTAACCAAGTTTTACACAAGAGTGCACAGAAGCAATTAAGCTCCTATGAAAAAGGCAGTCAGATGTCAAGAGAGTGAGACCCCATACTGATCCCACCAAAATAACACTCTGATTGCAGTGAAGAAACATTGTACAGCAGCATTGTGACAGTAAGAAAACTTACTTTTTATTAGACCTCAGTGAAGCCAGCCAACATGGGGGAACTATGCAGGAATACAAATTTTCAACTATGTTATTTCTCATTGAATAATGACTTGTTTTCAGAAGAGATTATAAAAAAAAAAAGACAAAACATCTTAAAGGTATTAATATCACCTGGGACAGTGCAATAATATGATGTAGTGCATGAACTATGAAATCAGGCATTCACTTATCGGTGCATCATAGAATTTCTCCTGAAACATACCAAAGTACTTCACTTTCTGTTTGATAAGATTCATAACTACTTAGAGCTCTCTGTAAGCAATACCCAGTGGTGTGTAGCTCTATATTGGGTTGTGCAGTTACTCCTCTGAACCATAAACCAGCTAACCTTCCCCTGTGTGTGCAAATCAGATTAAAATTCAGCAATATAGAGGCACCTAGAACATGATAGCAGACAAAGCAGCTGTAAAACATTAGCCACCTCACTTGGAAATGGAGGAACTGGGAAAGGATTGGAAACTATCACCTGTAGAGATTATTTTTTCAGATAGAGGTGTGTTTTGGGATAGCTTCATGTATGTGATAAAAGAGTAAGGCAGTATGGGATGGGATGGTGATCCTTAAAGAATGGGACAGCTTTTCAGTGTTTTGAGTTGTCGAAAGTAAATGGTGGATGGCATGTGAGGAAGTGAGCACTGCCAGGGCTCCCGTCAGCTGTGGGCAACATCTGCACTTGTAGATGAAACACTAGCAGAGAGCAGGTTTTGGTTCTCAGGCCAGCTGGCAAGACTTGACCTTGTCCACACTGTTAAACTCCTTCAGCTGAGCTGCGTGCCCACAAGGAAGCTGCCTGTTGGACACGGTTCCTGGGTTGTGCTAACAGCAGAATTTGGGAAATGCTTTGCTGGCGCAGGCAGCAGCGTGCTGGAGCTGATCAGCAGATGTAGTGTAGCCGCCTGTCAGGCTCCTGTGCACAGAAGTGCTGTCTGGCATGGTGTGTTTGACTTGTGCAGCTTCAGTCCTTCTGTCTGTCCCTGGATTCTTGTGTTTACAGTCTGCTGTTTCAGAGGTCAGAATTATCATACATGCAGAAATTTGGTGAGGTGCAAGAAGCACTTAACGTCTGCAAGTGCCTTAAACTCTTCCCTGACTTTCTGAACCTGACTCAGACAAATCCTAATTAGCCTTATTAATGACATGACATGCCAGTGGAACCATGAATTTGGTTTGCAATAGTAATGATTCCTGTTCTGTGAGTCAGACTTGTGTCACTAAGCTGTGACCCTTTGGAGCTTGCAGACCCTCTGCCGCTGGGAAAGAGTGAGTGCTTCAGGAAAGCTTACAGGTAGTATGGACTAGCATCTTAAAGCAGAGAGGTTCTGGCTGTCCCAATCAGTTGTCTTTCAAGACATGTCCTAGATTTTAACCTATTGAACAAAACCACAACAAATCAAATGGAAAACGCATGGTTCACTGCTCTCAGTTTTGATGGCATCAGGAAGGTCAATCAGAGATTAATGTGTGTAACTGTTTTCTAAGCCTATCTTTAATGCTTTTGGCTTGGTTTCCACAGGAAATAGGGTGTATGTAGTAATCCTCTTCTGTTAGCTTTTTTTCCCTTCCCAGTCATTCTTAATCTGAACAAATCTGACAAGCATGTCAATTCTTAGAAGTTTTGTCTATCCCAGTATAGGAGAAAGTCTCTGTCAGTGAAGAAAGATGATACTTAAGCTGAGGGAAAGATGAGCAGAGATTGTACAAGAAAGAGCAGTTCTTATTAACATCCCAGCTGAAGGAAGAGCTGCTTCCTGAGTTTTCTCCATCAACGAAATCTGTAATAAAACAGGGCTTGAAAACTGCCTTTTGGTTACTCTCCATCACATCTCAGTCTTTTTTTCAGAGTAAACTTGGCAAATGGGACAAGGTTAATAAAAGCTGCTTTGGAAGGTGGGGCTGTTGTTTGCAGCTCTGCCTTGGTAGATAAGAGCAGTAGCTGCTTGGAAAGGAGGGTGATATCATCTGGCTTTGCTACCTAGAAGGAGTACTGCTGCATGAGCTTATAAAGAGATCCAGCTGCTTGGCCCTGCAAAATGCCATGTGCTCAAAAAACTGTGCACACTGGGACTTCTTCTTAGTGGTAACAGACAAGAATAAACAGATGCGCTTTACCTGGAATTAGATTTTTTCATGCAGAGTATTTTGAATGTGCCCTGTCATTTCTGTGACTTTGTGTTTAATTGAAAATAACTGCCTAAATGCAAGGTCAGGGTAACAGAGCCGCATGCAAAACCCCAGATAGCTTTCAGGGAGGGAGAAGGCAGTAGTCAAAGGACTGTTTATTATCCAATTTTTTTCTAAATTTTCTCTTCCTTTGTTTCTTTCCATGTACATCTCAGCTTTTTCAGTGCCTCCCAACCACCTTCTATTTCTGTCTTTTTTTTTTTTGCGAACCCCGTTGCTGCTCACCTTTTATTTTTTTCTCCCCTCTCTTCCTCCCCATTAGTTTATTATTCCAGATAAATCTCATTTATCTGTTTTCAGCCTTCTTTCTCCATTTAACTCTTGCCTGGACCTGTTCCTTTTCTTTCCCCACCCTGCTCTGTATTTTGTCACCTTTGTCTCAGCTGATTGTGCCAGAATTCAAATACCATGACTCAGATGGTGGACAGCAGATGTCCCTGGGCACTGAAGTGACCCTTCATTTGATGGCAACTGAAGACAAGCTTGTATCTGTATTCTGATTAAAACAGTGTTGCATTTTTCCCCATCGTGGCCGGACTTTCCTGCAGCCATAAGGAGCGTGGAGCATTGGGTGTCATTAGGATTAGTTGTCTCAAACTGGGAACAGCAGAGCTGAACTCTGCTGGAGCAGCACTGTGTCATTTCACAGAAGCCCTGTGTGTTTGCAGCAGGCTGAACCCGGGAATGCTAATGGTGCCCCCAGCCACCAGAGGCAGTGGGAATGAGCACTTGCTCTCAGCTATTTCACCTTGCTATTATTTTGGACCATTGACTATTAATGAAGTTCCAGCCGAATTGAGCACAAATCACCTGGAGCTGCATGTGAAAGGCTCAGATGAATTAGCAGTAGAGCCTCTAGCCTCACGCAGCTTAAGTGAGCCATCATTGCAATATCTGCCCCTAAATGCCAGCGCTGCTCCTCCTGCCTCCCTGTTGCTGCACAGCCTTGGCAAGGCTGGATTGCCACCCTGCGCTCAAACTCTGCCTGGATTGATTGCCTTCCTCTGTGGCACTTTGCAAGCAAGCAGAGCAGCTGCTGAAAACGAATAGGAGTTGTGACAGGGGGGACTGAGGTTTAGGGAGTCCCCACTGCCTTGTCCTCCCCTGGACCTTTCTCTTTCACACCCAAGGAGTGCTCCTTCTGCTGGGTACTCATCAGAAGTTGCAGGAAGGCTCTGAAATTACAGCATCAGCCATAAGGACTCCAGTAAAAAGAGATACAGGAGCTTGCATGGGAAATGTTAGAGGACTGCCTAGTTCTCTTCCAGACCTTGTGTGGTTTTTTGTGTCTGTCAGTAATCAGGAGCAAAAAAGAGACTTTTTTCTCTAATTGTCCATCTAATTTTCTTTAACTGAGGAAATGGCTCTTTTTGTGGACATTTCTCTCCATTGGGCAGGTTAGAGGGACTGCTTTGGGCATCTTGTGCAGTGCTTGAATGAATGGGAGGAAAAGTGCCTCTTGGTGCACGACAGTTATTCATTGCCTCCTCCTTGAGAAGGAGGTTAGTGTATCACAGCATGATTAAGGGCAAGAGAATCTTACTTTAAATCAGAGAAAGATTGGGAAGAAATTAAAATTTACTTCCTCAGGCCACATATATTTTTCTTCTCACTGCTGTCTTTCCTCCATCACGGAGCTCTGGCACTGTTGGCATGTACAATCCAATGGGTACAGCAGGGCCAGCAGCGTGATGGATTTCAACGTCACAGAGAGAGTACTGAGTGAAGCACACGGGGAAAAAAGAGAAAAGAAAAGATCCTTGGATTTCATTGCACAAATAAATGCCAGAATGAAACAGGTCTGGTATGACTTCAGCTCCCTGCTACCCAAAGTCAATCACACCGAAATGCTCATACAAGCAAGAAATACTGTACCGCTCTGGCACAGGTGAAATATTGTGTCTAGAATAAACCTTTTTGACCACTTCAATGCTGCCTAAAACTTAAGAATAGACTTAGCAATATTTTAGAGGAGGCTAGAACTTTTCACCCAACCATATAGCAAGGGTAATTAGTACTGCAGTTTGTCAAGGCTGGGTTGGAGGACAGATGCTGAGCTGTGGGGCCCCAGCTGAAGCTTTCCTCACCCATTTTAAGTGCTGTGCATTGAATACAAGAGGTGTGTGTCCTACACTGTGCCATCACCAATCCTCAGCCTAATTTTTTTTTTTTTGTGCAGCACAGGTCCATATTTCCCGTGGTGAGCCAAGGTGTTCCCAGCTGTGTCCTCAGCTGTTACAGCTAGGACCCCAGAGATAAAGAGCGGGAGCAGAGCTCTCAGAGGAAAGGCAAAGGTGACTTGGCACCTCCATGTGTTGCTGACTGAAATGGAGGTAAGGGATGCTTGTAGAATTTAGCAAAGTGTAGCAAATTCAGGTCATAAACATGTGACCACCTCCAGATATGCTGTTTGCACTGCTGCTGTGTGGCAGCAGCTCAGGTAGGCTCTTCTCAGTAAAGATTTAGCCTGGACTTATTTGACTCAGGAGACCAGCTATTGCTGTTTAATGGCTTTTACTGAAAATCCAGTAAGTAGGAAAAGGCTGGGCTTTCCTCACCACTTCCCACAGGCAGGCTCTCATATCCTTTAGAGCAAAACACTGTCTCTTCAAGGTAAATGAAAAAAAACAAAGTTTAGAAATATAAATTTCTTTCTTTGTGGAATAAATACACTTTAAGAACCACCAAATAATATTTTTGAGATTTTAATCACAGAATCATAGAATATTTGACTTGAAAGGAACCCACTAGGATAAACAAATTCCAACCCCCAGCCCTGCACAGGATAACCCAAAAATCACACCATGTCCAAGTAAAAACACTTCTTGAGCTCTGTCAGGCTTGGAGCTGTGACCACTGCTCTGGGTAGCCTGTTCCAATGCCCAAACACCCTCTGGGTGAAGAATCTTTTCCTAATATCCAGCCTAAACATCCCCTGACACAACTTTAGGCCATTCCCTCAGGTTCTGTCACCACACAGAAGAGCTCAGTGCCTGCCCTTCATCTTCCCCTCATGAGGAAGTTGTAACTGCAGTGAGGTTTCCCCTCAGTCTCCTACAGGATGAGCAGACCAAGTCACCTCAGCCAGTCCTTGTATGGCTTTCCCTTCAGGCCTTTCACCATCCTCATTGCCCTCTTTTGGACAATCTCTGATAGTTTAATTTAGTCTTACATTGTGGCACCCACAACTGCCCCCAGAAGAGCAGAGCAGGACAATCCCCTCCCTTGCCCAGCTGGTGATGCTGTGCCTGATGCCCCATCAAGGCTGGAAGAGACCTTTAGGATCACCAAGTGCAACTGTGCCCTCAGCATTGCCACTGGAGCCTTTAAACCACTAAACCACATCACTCAGTGCCAGATCCAGGCACCTCTTAAACACCTCTCTCAGGGCCTCTCTGCCTTTTGGTGATAATATTGCTTGTTACAGCACAATCTCTTGTGCTTGTAGAGACCTTCCAGAATCTGCAAAAAGCACAAAGCAGCAAAATAGTCACTAAGTATCCTGGCAAAGGGTACACTTGTGATCGGGTCTAGAGAGCAAAGATGTTTTCTTCCTTCATTAGTCTCTCCATTTCTGCAGGCACTACAAGGCGGCTTAGCACATCCACTGTTATGGGGAAATAGTCTAATCTTTATTTGCCAAAATGATAGCTTGAAACTAGAAACTAACCCAAGAGGCATCATGTCAATTGAACAAATAATCCTGACAGTTTCCATGGCTCCTGCAAGGTTTTTCTTATTTAAAATAATAATAATAAAGCTGAAAGCAAGCACTGAATCTTTGTGTAACCCAGTGAGGGCACAGACAGTAAAATTGCTTTATATGTGTCCCTTTCTTGCCCTTATCTTTCTTCAAAGTATCAAAAAAAACAAGAGGAAAGCAAGAAAACTAAATACTTTATAGACCATATAAGTAACACAGGATCGTGATGCTGTTTCTCTCACTGATGCCAGGCTGCAATGTAAGGTGAGGGCTGTGTCCTGTATGTAGCTTTTGAGCTGCTACTTGAAAATTTGGTTTAGTTAATGTGATACAGATTTCTGGAGTTAACTTGTACAGTAATGCCCTTGGGAACTGTTTCATATAGAATACTACAGTATAAAATCAAGGAATTAACCATTTGGGATGGAAATCCCAGCTCTTAAATGTCATTAGTAGGAAACCTTAATGGAGAACAAAACTGTATGAATAACATGGTTTAGTTGTTTGGTTTGTTTTTTTTTTTTTTTTTTTTCCTTCTGGTTTACAGGACAAAAATAGGAAACAAGGTAATTAAAACTTCTGGTTCTTATTGAAAGAAAAGACAGCCCCAGGGTGTTTAAAGAACTTAGGTCTATTTGACCTAAATAACTGATTTTTTTTAGTTTTAAACATAGAATTTATCTCAAAATTGAAATTCTACTTGCAGTGATAGAAGCATTGAGTGGAAAGCAACCTCCTGACTCTTTAAATAGACCTTAAAAATGGACACTTGAAGAACTCAATCCTGTGTTCTTACCCTTGTGTCTAGTTTCCATGTGTGCTGTGTGGGACACCTGAGAGGGCCTGGCATTTTTAGGAAAAGCATGGGGTATCAGAGAAGGCAAAAGGGCTTGTGATCACCTGGTTATACTTCTAAAGTAATAATCTTCTCTGTTTCTTTGACTGTACATTTACTGTTCTTGTTCTTTCCTTTCAAAGATAAACATCCATTAATAACATGTACACTCTATATGGGGACAGAGAAATAGCTTCCCACGAGGTCTTGAAATTCTTCATAAAGTGTTTGCCCTCAAGCTTTCTGATGTGTTTTGCTGGGATTATCCTTTGCTGTCTGTAACATCATTGCTGCTGAATCCCTGGATGCCTCAAATGTAGCACTCTGGGACATGAGAATGAGGGGATATTTCATGCTTTACTAGAAGCTGTTTCAGTGTGAAAAGAAATGGGCCAGATTTACCTATTTCTAGTATTTTATGATCCAGTGCAAAGGAAAAGAGGTTGTTGACAGCACAGCTCAAGAGAAAAATAAGTTCCTCAAGAGTACATCCCTTCAACATTGGGCAAGAGCAGATTTGAGGACATTTCCATGGACTTGGTAACAAATTAACTTCAGAGGAGAGACATGTTATGCCTATGCTTCTGTTCTTCATCAGTGGAGAAATTTTAAAGATAGTTTGGCTATTTGTTTTAAAATCTGAATTGGGACAGTAGTTACTGTTGCGTAAACATAGAGCTGGGAGGAGTTTTTAGGGTGATCCCTTATATTTCTTCTATTTCCTGAACAATTTTTAGTAGAGATGTCAACTGCTTACGTGGCAAAAAGCATAATATTAGAACATGACAGTGCTTAATTTGCAGCTGATCTTAAGTGTCTCCTTCATTTCTGATAATGAAAGTCAATGAGTTTTCCCACCTTTGGTTTCATTAGGTGATTCTCAGTGCCCTGGGAGGCGTGCTTCCAGCCAGTAATCCTCAAGAAACAGTGAGGTTCAATTTGTCACTCAGATGCAGCTCTAGCAATAGCTTCTTTGCTCTTTTTTTTTTTTTTTTTTTTTTTTTTTTTTGGTGATAAGATGGCATCTTCGCCTGTGTGAAAAAAAACCCTGAAAATTTTCCAAAATGGCAGTGCAGAAAGGAATCAAACTTGCAGTTGGTGCTTATGGACAAATGTCAGTAGAGCAACATCTGTTTCACTGATGGCAAATGAAAGGTAAATATTGTAAGTGATGGGTTTGTTTGAATGGCTGAAATTAAGCTTTGCTCTGGCTCTCCATTGTGCTTTAACTTCCAAGCAGAGGAAACCTTGGCTCGCCCTGAGAGGTGCATCAAAAGCAGCTTAGAAGGCTGCAAGGAAAGCCAGCCTCAAAAGTGTGGATTGGACACTCCTATGTCCCTTCCACAAAGAGGATCAATAATCAGAAGGTGTTGCTAGTGTTTGAGGGAATGAATTGTCTGTGAGCATCTTATTACTGCCTTTGTTGGGTCCAACACTGATCTGTAGCTGTCATAGCCTTACAAAATTCTTCCAGCAGCACTAGAGAAGTTTGAATGGCTTTGAAAGGAGATGGTAGAGCATTAGTGTCTTTGTTTGGCATGTGTCTGTGGAACAGCTTGCATCCACAACCAAATAATTTCATTTACTTGCTTTCAGTCCATGTTCTCATCTCTTTAAAATGGGCCCTATAATGCTGTCTCAGTATGCACAGACTTTATGGGAGAGGTTCAGTAATCATTATGAAAAGGTCAGATGCTTCTGTGAAGGGCACCTGTAAATGAGTCTATAAATAAATAGTCTGGAAGCCTTTAGGAGAGGCTAACTACTTATTTATCTTTTATCCTCCTGTTTGCAGGGATGTATAAAAGCAAGAGCATGCTGCTAATTAGTTTAATGCTGGAATTTGTGTTAGGGGGCACTGAGAGACTGCTGGGTGTAGCAGTTAGCTTGATATGACACCTGGCCAGCACTTGGCTCATACCAATGCACAGTGTGGCTCTGTGCAAGATCTGTGCTGAGCCTCGCTGGGAACTGTGTTTCTTAATTGGGAAAGGATTGTGTTTATTGAGATGATACTCACTGCTAAATATATCATCAGCAACTCTGTGGCACTGCTTTTTTCCACTTGGCTTAGAGGGGAAAAGCGACTCTTAGTAATGCTTTTTATTGACTGGTCTGAGTGCTGCTGGTTGTTTGGTTAGCATTCAAAAATGTCAGCTCTGAACTTGGAGCTGTCCAGCAAAAAGTTGGTTTCATTCCACACTCCAGTGGTATTTAAGGCAGGTAGTAAGAAACACCTCGTTTGGTTTAAGATCATCATATTTTTATGGGAGAGGACCCTCCTGATCTGCCTGTGTATCAGTGGGATGGATGCTTCTTTTTGCCACCTGCCTGTGCAACAGGCTTTGGCTGCAACAGAGAGGTCCAGGGTGGAGCACAAAGACAATTCTGTGGGGTGGCAAGAGATGGGGGAAGTCCTGGGGTTTACTGAGGGGATGCCTTTTTGCAAGGCTTGTCCCTCAGGCAGCTTGTTTAATTGCTTCAGTATTGCTTAGCTTTTTGTCACATGAGGTGCAGCACTTCCAGCTGCAGAGAAGCTGACAGTTTCAGAGTGGACGGTTTCAGAGCCTCTGGCACATGATCCTTTACACAAAGCTCCTTAGGAGATCCATCCAACTCCTTGGTCTCTGGCTGCAGACTGAAGCACAGGAAAAACATTTGAACTTGGCTGTAGGAGAAAGAGTGCTCCTTTCCTTTTCTCCCTGACTAAGGAGACTGGACTTATAAAAGGTGTTTTCAGTCCCAAATAATTTTGGTGCTTCTGAATCCAATCTGCTCCAGGTTGCATATCTGCT